TACGATTCTCTTAGTAACATTTTCTTTTCTCTAGCTTACTTTATTGTAAAAATAGAGTATATAATACATAGAAAATACAAAATATGTGTTAACCAGCTGCTTATTTTATCAGTAAGACTTCCAATCAACAGTAGTTTATCAATAGTTAATATTTGGGGGAGTCAAAAGTTATATATAGATTTTTGGCTGCATGGGGGTCAGTGCCCCTAACACCTGCCTTGCTCAGGGGTTAACTGTATATAGAGTAATGAAACCACATATCTTTGTGATCATACATAAGTTGTTTAAATTGTATTTTTTCTTTTTAAATATATTTTATCATCTTCAAAGCAGCAAAATAAAACCTAAATTTCTTATGGAGTTTGTTGTAAAAAAAATCAATGATATAAATCACCTAGTATAAGGTCTGGCAAATATCAAAAGCTTGAATTATGTTGGTTCCCCACTTGTCCTCTTGCTGATAGCAAAGACTATCATACATTTTTACATGCCTCAGCAACTAATATGGGGCAGGGCACATGGAAGATGCTGAGTAAGTGTTTTTGGAATGAACAAACACGTCAAGTGCTATAGAGAAGAGAAAACAATTAATTATAAATTCATTAAGATAATTATATTTCCTTTCTTTCACCTCTGTAGTTACTGAGCAACTTTCTCATATTAATTCAGTTCTCAAGAAAACTTCCCTATTAGAAAGAGGATACAGTATCCACTTGACTTGAGAATTTTGGTTCATAAGGCAATAAAGTTTCTCATTATAAATCAAGAAATTAGCTTTCAAGTTACTAATCAATCTCTAGTGAGTTTTACTAGCATCAATTAGTCCCCTAGAATCAGATCAACCTTGAATAAATGAATAGGATAGATCTTTTGACATTGAGAAGATGAGGATCAGGTTTTAGGCCCCTTGGAGGCTTTGCAAGGTACCACATAAGCTACCAACAACCTTCTTACTTGGAAATTGGTAAGTTTGAGTTTAGCATTGTGTGTACAGAAGTATCAGGTCTGGGTCTTCCCTTATCTTTTCCCTTTGCTTAATTACTGGTAATATTTCTGAGGAAAAATTGCCACAGAATTCAATCTGAGCTCCAAAAGATGTCTAGTCAGGGATCCGCCCCAAGCTGGTTCCATTTCCATTAACTGTTGACTGTGTTATCTTCCACTGGGACTCATATGTTTGCATCAATTATAACAGGCTTTTTATTATGCCTTCTTGCCTCTCCTTTTCTCAGCCCTGAAATGACTTAAATTCATCCTTACATAAACAAATAAATAGTGAAATAATTTTCAGAGCCTGACTCAGGTATGCTACCTCCCTGGAGTCTACCTTGATGAGGTTGTTTGCTTATACTGTTTTCTTTATTCTATCAAGGCTTTAGACTTTTCATCAGAATACATAGACACTTTACATGATATAAAGGTAACTTGTAAGTTCAGGCAGGAGACTTTATAATGCAATGACAGAAACCTGATTGTGGTGTTCAGCACCCTAGGTGTCTTCTGGTGACTTTTGCTTTCTATTTCTCTCTTTGCAAAGTTCCATTCCAACTGAATAGGGCTGATGCTGTGTAACCAAGAAAGTAAGGCAGAAGTAATAATGTGTAACTTCCAATGTTAGTTGGTTAGGTTTTAAAAAGTAGTGCAGCGTTAGCCTTGGGCTCTTGGATAGCTCACCCTGGGGGAAGCCAGTTACCATGCCATGGTGACACTCAAGAAGTCCTACAGAAAGGCCCATGTGAAAACAAAAGAAAACAAAACAAAAAAAAACAACTGAGACCTTTTGCCAACAGCCAGCACTAACTTGTCAGCCATGAGTGAGCCACCTTTGAAAGGATTCTCCATTTCAGTTGAGCTGCTAAATAAATGCAGCCGAAGCCAACATCTAGGGGCAGCATTCTAAGAGACTCAGCCAGAACATCCCATCTGAGCCACACTTGCATTCTTGCTTATTAGAAACCGAGGGATAATAAGTGATTTTTGTTGTTTTCAGCCATTAGATGTTGAAGCCATTGATTATGAACTGCAGATAGCTAATATACATATTCAAATTAGCTTAAGAAAAAAAAAGTATCTATTGCTTATGTAGCAGAAAAGTCCAAGGGCCTGGCTTTAGGGCTGGATGGACTTAGGTGCAAAAAAAAAGATTTGTTAGAAATCTGTTTCATCCCATGTCTTGGCTTTCTTTTCTCCTTCATTGGTTTCTTTTGCAGACACATTCTTATGAGGAAACTAGATGAACTGAAGAAGCTCCAGTTGTAAATCTTAACATTTTAGCTATATTACTCAGGGCTCTCCATAGGGACCGAACTAATAGGATATATGTGTATATGAAAGAGATTTTATTAAGGAGAATTGGCTCACATGATCACACTGCAAGTCCCATGATAGGCTGTCTGCAAGCTGAGGAAGAAAGAAGCCAGTAGTGACTCAATCCGAGTCCGAAAGTCTTCAGTCTGTGACCAAAGGCCTGAGATCCCCTGGCAAACCACTGGTGTAAGTTCAGGAGTCCAAATACTGAAAACCTTGAAGTTATTTGATGAAAGCTGCCGGCAGGAGGAACAGAAGGAAGCAACCAGCATGGGAGAAAGATGAAAGTTCGAAGGCTCAGCAAGCCAGCTTTCCCCACCTTCTTCTGCCTCCTTTGTTCTAGTGTGCTGACAGCCTATTGGATGGTGCCTACCCACATTGAGGGTGGGTCTTCCTCTCTCAGTCCACTGACTCAAATGTCAATCTCCTTTGGCAATACCTTCACAGACACACCCAGAAACATACTTTAGCAGCTATCTAGGCATGGCATCCTTCAATCTAATCAAGTTGACACCTAATATTAACCATCACATTAGCAATACAGAGAAACAAAGTATCTCTTTCCCAATAGTTTAAGCAAACATTCAGGACTGAGTCTTTTTGGCCTGCCTTGGGTTGTTTGCAAGTTTTTGAGGCCAGTGGTTAGACTTAGAACAAGAGGTGGGGTAGACTTTTATCACAGAACTGTCTTATGGGAAGAAGATGGTATTCAAAAAAAAAATTGAAAGGCTGTGTCACTAGAGTGGGTGCTGGACTGGAAGAATTACAGACTTCAATTACAGACAATTATAAACTGGAATAACATTCCAAAAGCCCTACTTTGATCATGTTACTCAGAATATGAAGACTGTATTGGTCTGTTATCACGCTGCTGATAAAGACATACCTGAGACTGGGCAAATTACAAAAGAAAGAAGTTCAATGAACATACAGTTTCACGTGGCTGGGGAGGCCTCACAATCATGGCAGAATGTGAAAGACACTCACATGGCAGCAGACAAGAGAGGAGAGTTTGTGCAAGGTAACTCCCCTTTATAAAACCATCAGATCTCATGAGATTTATTCACTATCATGAGAACAGCATGAGAAAGACTTGCTCCCCTAATTACATTACCTCCCACCAGGCCCCTCCCACAACATGTAGGAATTCAAGATGATATTTGTGTGGGGACCCAGCCAAAGCATATCGAAGATCATTTGGTGTCCTTAATTTTTCTTTATTAAATATTATTTGAAAGCTGGGAAAAGTAGCATGTGCTCATTGCAACCAGTGAAATATTACAAAAAAACAATGAAATATGATACATTGATTAATTCAGGCGACACGAATTGAGCACTCTCTATGTGCTTTGACACTGTACTAAGTGTTGCAAATTCAGTGGTGAATGAGGGAAGCCTGATTCATCCCTGCCCTCACACAATATGCAGTCTAATGTGGAAAAGGGCACTGAAGAAACAATTGTATGAATAATACATTAAATACAATGTTAAAGGCTATCAACGAAAAGTACCAGGCTCCGTGAGAGTATAGAAATATCTTATGTTCAATAAATAAACATGAGATTCCGCTAATAGCTGTGGTGTATAAATTTTAAATTGAAATCTTATTGCTGCTGCTAGTAACAATCCTAGTTGATTGACTTTAGATAAGATACTTATCTTCTCTAAGTCCTACTTCCCACATAAAATCATTTTTATAAAGATTAAGGGAAATATTGCAACTAGTGTGGTTACTATAGTTCCCAGCACACAGTAAGTACTTAATAATTGTTTGCTACTTTTATTATTTTGCACACAGGACTTGGCACAGTGTCATGGACTAGTAAATTCATAAACAATGTGTGCTAAAGGGTCATAGTATGAGGGGCCTCCACTAAGCAGATATCTGCATGACTCTCCCTTATGTTCTGTAGTAGTTTGCTTCAATGTCACCATCTCAGTGACACCTTTGCTGACCATTCTATTTTAATTGCAACCCCCACCCTGACTTAAAACCCTCATTGCCTTATCTGTTTTATCTTGTTCTTCTCCATGACACTTATTGCCATCTTATATACTATATATTCTGCTTATTTATTTATGGTCTGTTTCACCTTTAAAATATAAGCTCAATGAGATTATAAAGTTTTGTTCATTTTGTTCACTGATCTTTCCACAGAACCTCAAATAATGCCTGACATAGAGAAGGCACTGAATATATAGTGATCATAGCAACTGAATTTCTCGATCACGTTTTGTTTACCAGGCACTGTTTTAAGTGTTTTATGTTTATTCTTTATTAAAAATTGATATTAAGACATTTTAACATGCCTTAACACAGACACAGGATCCACACAGGTTATGTCGTTGCACATTCATATTCAGGGGCCATGCCAGACTCCACAGTGATGCAGGATCTCCCATGTTGTAGTGTCACAGGTTTTCTGATCCTACCCCTAGAGCATAGTCTCTATTCTATATGAGTAATATGCACTAACAGGGGGACTCTGTATAACCAATATGCACTTACATAAAGCCAGATTTCATGTTTGCTGGGATATTTCTTAATGTGTTTGGGAGAGAAAGGTGATGCCTAGAAGTATAAGATTCTGAGGATAAATACAATCTGACCTGCAGTTGTCAGCCTAGCCCACCTGATTCGATCCCTGTGGTGAAAGTTATCTCTTTTAATTACATTTATTTTACCTTTTCAGGCTGAATAATATTAAGGAAATGACAACACTACAGGAAGGGATGGAGTTAGCTAAGAGGAGACAGATACAACTTAGGTGACAAAATCTTTGGAGTTGCCATATTATAGTAAGTCTGCCCAAAGCCCAATTTAAAGAAAATAAAGTTTAACAAATCAGAAATTTCTCATCCTTTTGCAATGTGACTTTTCTGCTCCTCCCATCAGGAAGTAGACTTGTATTTGGACTGGCCTCATTACTTGCTTTGTATGGCAGACTGTGATGGAATTAAAATTTTGTGCATTTTTCTTGATTTAAGATTCTAATTTTGTGGTGGTTTATAATTTAGCAGTAGGTAACTGATAGAGTCCTGGTATTGTACCTTCTCTGTTTCCTTCTGTCCCTGTGACAACTAATAAAGAATGCTAAAAGGTTATTTCAGAATTTTATTCTAGGTGGATAAGGCTCATTAGCTATAACTTTGAGCTGTATTTTGGATTCAGGATTTCCCTTGAATTATCTAAAGCTACACTTTCAAAAAGTGTGGGTAGTGAGGTTAAGTACTAGGCAGGAGGGGACTATGTATTGTAGGCTACCACAGATAAAACTTAACAAAGGCGTTAACTAGACGTTAACTAGGACAACAAATGGAACAAAAGGAAAACTATTATGAAAGCGGAATCATTTATCTCTGGGCTGGGAATATCAGAATTCATGGGGTTCCCACCTGTTTGTGCACACTAATTCAGCTTAGATTATCATACAGTTAAATCTAATTTTTTTAAGTATCAATCATCTGTAATTCTGATTAATTTTTACCAGTCACATCTTTCATGTAAGAAAGTGTGGCTTTAGCACAAGATTGATTTCAGTTCAAATTCCATCTCTGCAACTTACTAGCTATACCTTTGAGTAAATAGTATCTTCCAAACCACAGTTTCTTCATGTGTAAAATGGTGTCAATGATACATACGTGTGGGGTTTTCTAAAGGATTAAAGTAGCCCAATAAATGTAAGTAATTCATATTCTATTCTGAAATGGAGAAGGTTAAGTGAAATAAGACCTGTATGATTAATTTTCTTTTCTCTGTCATGTGTTACTGTTGTGCCACCTCTAAGGAATAGGCACTGGTTTGGCTTTCTCTAAATAAAATTCAAGGAATTTACTTATTTTGGATATTTTCCCTGAGCTTTATCCATGCTGGACTTGAGTTTTCTCTACTCCAATGTATGGTTCTTTGATGTTCATTTATATGTCTTTATATTTATGCTTCTCCCTTCAACTTTCACAGGTATTTTTTTTTTTCAAAACCTGATCTTATCACAGCATTTCCTATGGAGCCATTTTACAAGCCTCCTTTTTTTGTTTTACTATTTGATTATTTCTGTTCATACTATTAGAACTTTTATTTTTTGAGTCTCCTATCATAATTTCATTTGTTTACAGTTAACCTATGACTGTGGCTTCATAATTGTAATATTGTATAGTGGTTAAGGGGATGACTAGTGAATCCAATTTCCTCATTTGGAATTCTTACTTTCAACAACTGTGAAAAACTTTCATTTCCCTAAATGTGAAATGGGGATGAAAATAGTAAGACTGATCTATAAAGGGTATTTTGAAGATTAAATGGGATACTTCTAGAAGCTTTATAGTTTTAGATTTTATATTTATGTCTTTGATATAGTCTGAATTAATTTTTGTATATGGTATGATGTAGTTATTCAAATTCATTCCTTTGCATGTGGATAATAGTTCTTTCAGCATCATTTTTTTAAAAAAAATCTTTTTCCCCATTGAATGGTCCTGTCATCTTTGTAAAAAATCAATTGACTACACATATACTGTTATTTCTGAAGTCTCAGTTCTATTGCATTGATCTTCAAGTCTATCCTTATGCTAGTAATCACAGTCTACTTATTACAGTAGCTTTGTAATAAGTTTTGAAATGGGAAAGTTTGAGTCCTCCAACTGTGTTCTGCTTTTTCAGTATTGTTTTGTCTATTCTGACTCCCTTGCATTTCGATATGAATTTAAAAATGAGGGCCGGGCACAGTGGCTCACGCTTGTAATCTCAGCACTTTGGGAGGCCGAGGCAGGCGGATCACCTGAGGTCGGGAGTTTGAGACCAACCTGGCCAACACGGTGAAACCCTGTTTCTACTAAAAATACAAAGCCAGTTGTGGTGGTGTGTGCCTGTAGTCCCAGCTACTCTGGAGGCTGAGGCAGGAGAACTGCTTGAACTCAGGAGGCGGAGGTTGCAGTGAGCCGAGATCGCGCCACTGCACTCCAGCCTGGGCGACAGAGTGAGACTCCGTCTGGAAAAAATAAAACAAAAGAATGAGCTTGTCCGTTTCTAAAAATGACTTTTAAAAGTTGTTGTAATTTTGATGGGGATTGCAATGAATCTGCATGTCTATTTAGAAAAAAAGTGCCATCTATAGAACTTTAAGTCTTCTAATCCATGAACTTGGGATATCTTTCTGTTTACTTAGATCTTCTTGATTTCAACAATGTTTTGTAGTTTTCAGTGTAAATGTCTTGCACCTCATTGGTTACATTTATTTCTAAGTATCTTATTCTTTTTGCTATTATTGTAAAAGAATTGTTTTATTACTGTCATTTTTGGATTGTTCATGGATAATATATAGAAAGGCAACTGATTATTTTTCTTGAAATTTTCGTGCATAGTTGTTGAATCATTTATTAGCTTTCATAGCATTTTTGGGGGATGGAGATTCTTTAGGGTTTTCTAAATATAAGATCATCTCATTGGCCAATAGAGATACTTTTACATATTTTTTTTTTCCCAATCTGGATTTATTTTATTTCGTTTTCTTGCCCAATTGTCCTCCATACTACCCTGACTCTAAGCAGTGAGAGCAGAATCCTTATGATCCTTGTCATGTTTCTGATCTTAGAAGGAAAGCATTTAGTCTTTTATCTTTAAATATAATTAATTTTAATTTTATTTATTTATTTTTAGAGACAAGTCTTGCTCTGTCACCCAGGCTTGAGTGCAGAGGCATGATCATAGTTCAATGTAACCTCAAACCTCTGGACTCAAACTATCCTCCTGCCTCAGCCTCCCAAAGTGCTGAGATTACAAGCGTGAGCCGCTGTGCCTGGCCCTCATTTTAAAATTCGTATTGACTTCAGACATACAGATTGCAGGCATGAGCCATTTCGCCTGACCTCCATTAAGTATAACTTTAATTGTGGGTTTTTCATAGATTCACTTTAAAATGTTGAGAAAATTCCCTTCTATTCCTAGTTTGTTGCGTGTTTTTATTAAGAAAGAGGATTGGATTTTGTCAAATACTTTTTCTGCATTTATTGAAATGAACGTGTTCCTCTTTCCCCTTTTCATTTTGGGGTATAAATTGATTAGTTTTTGTACATTGTACTGACTTCATATATCTGGTATATAATCTTTGTCTATGTATTGCTGGATTCAATTTGTTAGTGCTTTCTTTATAGTTTTTCCATCTTCATTCATAAAGGATATTCTGTATTTTTCTGTTTTGTGATGGCTCTATCTGGTTTGCTATCAGGTAAAAATCCTGGCCTCCTAGAATGAGTTTGGAAATGTACCCTCCCTTTCTATTTTTTGACAAGTTTGTGAAGGATTGGTGTTAATTCATCTTTAAACATCTGGTAGAATTAACTGGCCATCTTTTTCTTGGCTTTTCTTTGTGGAGGTTTTTAAAAATTACTCTCTCAATCTTTTCCTTATAATAGGCATATCCAGATTTTCTATTTCAATAGGTATATCCAGATTTTCTGTTTTCTCTTGACTAAATTTTGGTAAATTTTTGTCTTTCTGGGAGTTTATCCAACTCATCTAGGTCGTTTAATTTGTTGTCACACAATTGCTCATGCTATTTTTTTTTATAATCCTTTTTGTTTCTTTAAGATTGGTAGCGATGTCACTTCTTCTATTCCTGATTTTAGAAATGTGAATCCTCTGTCCTTTTTTCTATGGTTGGTCTAGCTAATGATTTGTAAATTTTGATGATATTTTTCAAATAACTAACTTTAAGTTTTATTGATTTTCCCTATTGTTTTTCTAATTTCTATCTCATTTATTTCTTTACGAATCTTTTCTTCCTTCTGTTTGTTTTGGGTTTGTGTCTTTGAGTATAAGGTAAGTCTCTTCTAGATCAGATCATTGAATGGTGCTCTTTTACTTATTTGCAATTATCTAACTTTTAATATAGAGATCTTTCTAGTATACCATTTTAGTTTACTTGCAATTTTTATATTGTACATTTTACTATATATTTTTGAGTTATTTTATAGGAATTAAACTTAATAATTTATTTTATAACAATTCATTTTTGTTTAATATCAACTTTATTTCAACAGTATACAAAAACTTTGTTTATATATGGAACAGTTATAGCTCCCCATTCTTTATGTTGTTATTTTTACAAATTATATCATTATACATTATGTACCCGTTAATATAAAATTATAATTATTGCCTTATACATTTATCTTTTAAATCAGAGAGGAGAAAAAAGAGGTTAAAAATAAAACATTACCTTTATTTTGTATTTTATGTTTACCTATATCTTTATGTTTTCTAGGGCTTTTTATTTATTCATGTGAATTCCAGTTGCCAGTCAATGTCTTTTCCTTTAATCCTGAAAGACTCTCTTTAGTATTTTTTGTAAGGCAGGTCTGTCAGCAGTGAATACTGTCAGTTTTGGTTTATTTAGGAATATCTTAATTTCCCCTTCATGTTTGAAGGATAGTTTGCCAGATATTGAATTCTTGTGTGACAGATTTTTCTTTTCACATCTTGAATATGTCATCCTACTACCTTCTTACTTCTTTTGAGAAACTAGCTTTCAATTTTGTTGAGGATTCCTTAAACATAATGAATTACTTCTCTCTGCTGCCTTCAAAATTTCTCTTAGACTTTGACTTTCAACAATTAAATTATAAGCGGTTTAGAGGTGGATTTCTTTTATTTTATCCTACTAGGAGTTCCTGGACCTTCCCGAATGTGTAGACTAGCAATTTTTATCAAATTTTAGAAGTTTTGGCCATAATCTCTTCAAATATTCTTCTTGCTCCTTTTTGTCTCTTCTTTCTGGGATTCCCATTATGCATATATTGGTATGATTAATGGTGTTTCACATGTCTTTCAGGCTTTGATAATGTTTTTGTTCTTTTGTTCTTGTTACTCAGAATAATCTTGATTGACCTATCTTTGAGATCTCTGATTTTTTCTTCTGTGTGCTTAATCTGCTTTGGTGTCCCTGTGGTAAAAATTTTTTATTTCAGCTATTATGCTTTTCAATTCGAGATTTTCTACTTTATTCTATTTTATACTTTTGTCATTTAATCTATATTTTATATTTGGGAGACATAATACTATGTCTTTAGACATAGTTTCCTTTAGCTATTTGAACATAATGTAAAAGGCTAATTTAAGGTTCTTGCCTAATTAGTTCAATATCTAAGCTTCCTCAGGGATATTTTCTATTTGTTAATTTCTTCCCCCTACTTTCCTGTTTCTTTGCATGTCTTATAATTTTTTGTTGAAAACTAGACACTTCAAATAATACAGTATGGCAATTCTGGGAATCAAATTCTCTCTCTGTTTTTCTTTTGTTGCTGCTTGTTGTAGTACTAGTTGTGTGTTTGTTTGATAAATTTCTGAACTAATTTTGTGAAGTCTGTATTCTTTGTCATGTGTAGTCATTGAGTCTAGACTCAGCTAGCTTAGTGGTCATCTAATGATTGGACAGAAGTTTCCTTAAATGCCTGAAATTAATAAATCTTCTAGTCTTCGCTGATGGGCTTTGGATGTGTTGAGGCTTTCAATGTTATTTACAAATATCTATTTAAATGCCAATGTAAGTACTAAATCTACTCTCAGTAGGATCCTGTTCTTGTGATTTAGTCAGACCATTTACCGTGTTGCTTTAGCTTTCAATTCCTGCTTTCACAGAGCCCCAAAGTCAGCCAGCATTGAGAGTTTAGTTTTTTTTTTTTTTTTTTTGTCTTTTGCGAGCATGTGCACAGCCCTAAGAATATGCATGGCCTTCTAGATTCCTAGGAGTATTGGAGCTTTCCAAATCCCTTTAGAAAACCTCTTTCCTCAGATTTTCTTTTTAAGCCCTATGATTAGTCCGTTGTTCACCCCAATTCTTACCTATCATCTAAAGCAGCTGCAATATTAAAAGCTTGCATGTAGATGTTTTTGATAAATGCCCCATAGGATGAGGTTATTAGCACTAGGTGAGCTTTGAGTCAGGCCATATAAAGACAAGCTTTTCATGTGAGATCTTCTAGGGAACCATCTGAAAGGTGAAATGATAATTCTTTGGAAATGGGGCTTTGAAAGAGATCTAGCTTTATTCTGCTCCCTTTGTTATCAAGAATGGGCACTAGTACTTTACAAGGTTGCCCAGGGGAGTCAGGGATGGAGGTAGAGCAAGTTAAAATGCAGCGAAGCTCATTGAGGTAAAAATAAGCTTAACATTCACATTCCCCCCAACTCTGTCCCGAATTTTAAACCTGTGCAGATTTAAATCTATAAAGAATTCAAGTCACAGTATTTTGAAAATTTTAATTATATAATTTAACTTTAACTCAGTCAGGTGAGGAGAATTAAACAGCCATTTTATGGGGAGGGGTGGTTATGTAATAAAATTCATCTTGTTTATATGCAAGCAGTGGAATAAATTGAAATGTGATTTGAATGATTTATTTCCATGTTGTAATAATTATGGTTTTTTATTGTTTGTGCTGGTATTGATAAATAATCAGATATTACATGCCATTTTGTATTAGTTTAATTGAGAAGCCTGAGTCGAGCTTGGCCTAAAGTGGAAATTTGTTGGCTCAAAGAAGCAACACACAACTGCAGTGAGGGAAGGAATACAGCTGGGCCCAAATTACCACCAGGATTCTCTCGTCTTCCTCTGTTCTTAAAACTAGCTTAACTCTGTTTTCTCTGACTGCAGATGGGTTCTTCCAGTGTGGCAATCGGCACGACACTAACAGCAGCAGGGTTTCCAGTTGTTTCACCTTCTCCAGCCGACAACTATCACTTTTTCTGAATTCCAAAAAAATCCCAGGTAAGGACTCTCATTGACTCAGCATGTGTTCCATTACTTCCCCTGGAACAATAACTTAAAGCAGAAATTGGACAATACAGCAACATGGTCGTTATGCTGTTGGGGTTCAAAAACAAGGAGTTGTTTTTCCCTGAAATGGGTAGAGTGTAGTTGGGTTGGGAGATGCTGTGCAGTTAAGATACTTGATATTTAATATACTCTTGCAAATATCCATTTCAAAACCAATATAAATACTAAATTTACTTCCAATATGACCTTATTCTTATTTTAAAAATACCCAAACTAACAACAGCAACAAAACAAAACAATGCTCTCCAAAAAAATGCAACAAAAAGGATCAGTAAGCTCCTCTCACTGTTCATGTTTAATCACAAGATTAAATCAATTTAGAAAAAAAGGTAAAATGGGCATAGGGAAAAATCTTAACATCCTAAGAATACCCAAACTGAATTTCTGAGATTTAAAGCACATGTTCCAGATCTGAAAGACAATAGAATTAGGGAACCCTATCTATACATTGTTGAGGTCCTGACTGCTTTGAATGTCTGTGTGGGTCACTCTACCGGAATAATCACAAAAACTTTACTTTATTCTAATTGCATGTGAAAGAGATAATTACTTTATTTATACAGAATATTTAGATTCAATAGCCCTGATTATTTTAGGCTAAAGTGCATGAGTGTCTCTTTAAAACTTAAATTATCTGACAATTGTTTCAATTGTATGCGTGGCTCTGCTTCATAGTCAAGACTTAGCAATTATGCAGTTGATATGAACACTATAGATCAAAGTAAGAATTTAATTCCAAGAATGAAATCTTCTGTTTGCCATTTTATACTGACTGCACCAACAGGCCAATCAATAACTGTCCCCTTCATGTGTACAATGTGATTTTTTTTTTTTTTTTGAGATGGAGTCTTGCTCTGTGGCCCAGGCTAGAGTTCAGTGGTGCTATCTCAGCTCACTGTCCCCTCTGCCTCCAGGTTCAAGTGATTCTCCTGCCTCAGCCTCTCGAGTAGCTGGGATTACAAGTGTGTGCCACTATTTCTGGGTAATTTTTGTATTTTTTGTAAAGACAGGGTTTCATCATGTTGGCTGGGCTGGTCTCAAACTCCTGGTCTCAAGTGACCTGCCTGCCTCGACCTCCCAAAGTGCTGGGATTACAGTCATGAGCAACCACACTTGGCCACAATGTCCTTTTATTTGGATGTTTGTTTTGTGTCTATACTCTCAGTTTAAATTAAATCTCACAATAGAGATGATGTTTAATATAACTCTAATTTTCAAACTTTAACATTTCTTTAAACTGATTATCAAAATATCGAAATTTACCACCATTAGACATCATTTATAACAAGACAATAAAGTCATATTTTACAGACCTGCCGTAGTTTAGAATCCTTTAAAGTTATTACCTCATCTACCACAATAGAACCAAATTTTGCCTCTTTTATATATCCAAACACCATGCACCCAGGAACAAATTGGATTCCTGAATGCACTCTACTTGTAGTCCTTCTCCACTGTCATTAAATGCAACTATTTGGTCACAAAAATATCATGATTGAATGAAAATGTAGTGCCAGTGTTTCCCGTGATTTATTCTGAATTCCTTCTATTCACTCTTAATTCTCCATGCCCAGGAAGAATTGTTGAGCTGAGGGAAAGAGGGCTGGAGCAGGAATCAGCAGACATTACCATTTATCTATATAGTGTCACGAATAAATACCAGATGTGGCTCTTGCCTGTCTTCTACTCTTTCCCCTCTATTTCATCATAGATATTAATTATGTAACAAGTTCGACTGACATTAAACACTGAAATAAGAAAAGTATGGAACGTACTAAAACTCCTTTTTATTACTAAGATACTTAGAAATGTAAAAATGAACATATGTTTTGTAGGAATACTAAATTTCACCAGTGTGTAGTGTGTCTTTTATTGTACTGACTCTTTAAAAATTAAATTCCAGAATCCTCCTTTTACTTTTTGAATTCTGAGAATGAGTTTCTGTAATAGTTTAATGGAGAGCTTCTCCATGGAAATAATGGGGTGGTACGTGTGAAAATTGTTCAAATCAAAATGGAGTCATTAATGTTAAAACAAACCTTGACAAACGGAGCCAGGGAAGGCCTTGAAGAAAGGGTTCTCATGTTTGTATGTTTGATAAAACTATCACAAAAGATTCTGCAAAAAACACAACTGTACACAAAGCCCATCACAATCTTACACAAAAAATACTCTTGCAAGGACGTCTGCACAGCAACTGCCTGTCCAGACTCAGACTGGCGTGATCCTTGTTATTGATCTTTGTAGCCAATGAAAATTATTTTAAAACAATTGTACATTCTTTATTTTTTTTCTTTAAAAGGATTTGTCTTTCTTTATCTCCCTGAATACACACATAGTTTACTACGGCATGCGTATTTCCATTGCAATGCTCTATTCCCTCAACATCTTTTTTTTTTTTTTTCTGTGTTTGTTATGTAAGTTGATGTATATGGTTGCAGAAGTGGACATGAAAAAGATCATTCACTGAAAGAAATTGGCGATTCTTAGAACTGGTATGCAATACTCACTTGAGACCTTTGAGCTCTCTGCTTCTACGACTCACCTTTTCTGCCCTGGTGGGTCTTCTCTAAGGCTGAGCCTCCCTCTTATTGGTAGCAACTCTTGACTTTACTTGGAATCTGGACCTGGTAAAGCTACTTTAGCCCCATATGTCCCTCCTAAAGTGATAAAAGTGTTCTGTCTTTTCCGAAAAGACCTTTCTGGTGTAAAGATACATGTCTTTCTGGATTGAGTGTTCTTATTTCTACAAAATCTACTTTCTGTTCATGAGGCATGTCTTTTCTGGTGAATCCACTTTTGGGCTGCAGGTTTAGTTTGATATTTTTTTCAGTCTGTGTGCCTGGGTTAAGATTTTTGCAAATACTTGATTTCTTTTGGTTTGGCTTGAACATTTTTGTTGTGTGTTTCTAAAAATCTTCTGATTGCAAGGAAGGTTAAGAAGAAAAGAGAATAATTTTGTATGAGAAAAAATCTTGGGTAGAAAATTTTTGTCCTAAGGTAAAATGACTGGTTATTTAAGAAAGAAAAAGTACAGGACAGAGCAGAGAGTCCAAGAATATAATAAATATTGTGAGTTTTGGTAAGGTTTTTGAAGGGGGATTTATAAAAATAATTTTGTGTGTGATCAAATTGGTTATAATTAAAAGAAAATTATGATAATTTTTAAAGAAGAGTCAATATTTTAAAAAAAGACATGCAAAACTAAAAATCTGGTTGCCTATGTAGGAACAACAAAGTATTGATTTATGTTTATAATAGTTGCAAGTGGTTTTGATTTTCGATTCTCAAATCTGTTTAACAGCTGTCTTTTTTTTTGTTTTTGAGATGGAGTCTCACTTTGTTGCCCAGGCTAGACTGCAGTGGCACCGTCTCAGCTCACTGCAACCTCTGCCTCCGGGGTTCAAGAGATTCTTCTGCCTCAATCTCCCAAGTAGCTGGGATTATAGGCACATGCCACCATGCCTGGCTAATTTCTGTATTGTTTAGTAGAGACAGATTTTTGCCATGTTGGCCAGGCTGGTCTTGAATGCCTGACCTCAGGTGATCTGCCTGCCTTGGCCTCCCAAAGTGCTAGGATTACAGGAGTGAGCTACCATGCCTGCCCACCAGCCATCTTCTAAACTACAGACAGTTTCTATTTCTGCTGCATTTCTTGCTGAGATATATTTAATTTTCCTACTTTCAGATTTGAAATGCTGTCTTTTTTATTCAGAATGGCAGTTTCATTTCTACAGGTAAAATTATTTTTTTGAAACTTCTCATATTTATATGTTAGAATTCAACCTTTCCTGTATCTTCTGCATGAGATTTGCAGGTCATGCGTCGTCTTTGCCTTCAGCTCTCCTTTTTTCCCTTATAAAGCTATATCCTTTTACTAGACTAGAGTGACCACCCTTTTAACATTTTTGTCATCCCCTTTAACATTTTTTCTCTTCAGTTTTAGCTCTGAATTTGTTGCCTGACATTAAAATATTTTTCTCAAATACTTTGAAAAGCAAAGTTTTTCCTCTAGTATAACTTGATTCTGTGCTCTTGGGTTTTCTTGATGTGTCTGAATTGTTCCACATAACCAGGAAACTTCCCATACTGTTAGTAAAAACCATGTATTCTGCTGTTCAACGTACCAGTTTTCTTGTTTACGTTCCTCTGTAATATAGTGTGTTCATAATCCTGAACACATTCTTTCTGTGTCTGATTAAATTTAATTACCCTTCCATCAAGATTTATTTCTAGGTTATCTAAATGGGCTTCCCATAAGGAGAAGCAATCACGCTGCAGAACATTTTTCTTTACCTTTCTGGCAACTAACCTAAAAAGCAAAGATATTTCGGGAGGCTGAGGAGGGCTCATCACGCGGTCAGGAGTTCGAGATCAGCCTGGCCAATATGGTAAAACCCCATCTCTACTAAAAATACAAAAATTAGCTGGGCATGGTGGCACACGTCTGTAGTCCCAGCTACTTAGGAGAGGTTGCAGTGAGTTGAGACCATGCCACTGCACTCCAGCCTGGATGCCTGGATGACAGAACGAGACTCCATCTCAAAAAAAAAAAAAAAAAAAAAACCCAAATATTTTAAATTCTATTAAGATAATTTCCTGTGTTGTCTTTTTTTTTTTTTTTTTTTTTTTTTTCCTCCTTAGAGACAGGCTCTCATTCTGTTGCCCAGCTGGAGTGCAGTGGTGCAATCATAGTTCACTGCAGCCTCAAGATCCTCAGCTCAAGTGATTCTCTCACCTCAACCTCTGGAGTAGCTGGGACTACAGGCATGTGCCACCATACTTGGCTAATTTTTAACAAAAAAAATTTTTAGAAACAGTGTCTTAGAGTTGTCCAGGCTGGTCCCAAACTCTTGGCCTTAAGCAATCTTCCTGTCTTGGCTTCCCAGAGTGCTGGGAATTTATAGGCATGAGTCACTGCACCTGACCCTGTGTTGACTTTATTAGGGTGTTTTTCTTTCCTTAGGAAAATTAACCTTTTAAAAAGGATAAGGATTTTATATTCATTTGATTTTCTGATTTGCTTTTGAAGATCTCTGATTATCATTCTGGTTAAATGAATGACTATTATTTTCAGGGATCTTTAATTTTGTATTTATCAAGTGTTTTGAACTTTTTGACATCTTTGACAGGTTTCCCCAAGATCAAAATCCTAAATTAAGGCTTTTTTGACATCTACAATTAACTTTGCAATTTTACAGTTGGGCTTCTGTGGAGCTTCAAAGAATATAACTCTCATCCTGTAGATATATTAAATGATAAGGCTTATTTGGCAAATTGTATGAAAAGCATTGTCAGATGATGTGATACTAGATCTTCTTTCAGTTATATTTATTGGTGTATTCTTGGCATAACTGTTTAAAAACTGTATAAATTTATAAAAAATTGATGTTATGCCATAATTTTGGTTTTCTGAAATATTTTCTAAAGTTTTATTTGAATGGATATGTTATGAATTTAAGTACTCTAAAGCATATATAAAATTTATAAAACTGTGATGGTACTAATTTGACACAGTCAAGATTCTGGTTGATATCTTAAAATGCCGCATATATAAAAATAACTACATTTCCTTGTCAACTTTGAATTTTCATCAGATTTTTTTAACCATGGTTATTTTAAACTTTTGTCATCCACAGTTATTGTTTTAAATTCTTCTCTAATAGCATATGTAATCAGCCACAGCTCAAAACTGCTTTTCAAGAAAAAGTTTCTAAGAAGTACTCTGAAACACAGATTTCTGATAACTTTAAGATCAATGGACTGAATAAAAATTTCCAGAACTCCAAGAAAGAAATGTATGAGTTTATAAAAATGCTCATTAAGATCAAGCAAAATAAAAATTTAGTTACATGAAATTAAGTAATTGATAACGCTACTGTTTTTATGATTTTTATGTAAAACAATGATTGATTATTCACTTAAATATTTTCAAGATTTTTTAAAAAGTTATCTCTTAAGCTTTACAACACTTAAGCTTTACAACATAGTTTACAACACTTTGGTAAAGTATACTTTTGTGAAGACATGGAAGTATTTACTTTTTCTCTGTAATAGTAAGGGTTCTCTAGAGGGACAGGACTAAGAGGATGAATGCATATATGAGAGGGAGATTTTTAAGGAGTATTGACTCACATGATCACAAGGTGAAGTCCCACAATAGCCTGTCTGCAAGCTGAGGGGCAAGGAAGCCAGTCCGAGTCCCAAAACCTCAATTTCCCCCGCTCGATTCCTCCAAAAATTGAAAAATATTCATAATATTTTTAATGATAATGTAGTTATTTGCATAAGTTCAACAAAAATCTGTTCTCTCTTTATTGAAGGATAGAATTGAAAAGAGTGGTTACGTTACCAAGGCTTTGACTAAAGTATCGTATTTGAGAATGTGCATAAAACAACTGGCTTCAGTGGTTCCTAGCATCACAGTGAATGATTAGAAATTGTCACTTCCTGGCAGGCACGGAAAACTAAAGAATATAAGTGGAATCTAAAGTCTGCCCCCGTTTGGCTTCCTTCCCTCAAGAGGTATTAAAATCTGAGACTCCTATGTGATGAATGTATATTATTTTGAAGAAAAAAAATGAAATATCATATACTTGTTATTAGATTGTAGCCTTATTCATGGGTTTCAAGTTCTTATTTACCCATAGACTGCACTAGATCCTGAATCCTCCTAATTTCATCCAAAATTTGGCTACAACTCTCCAGCTAGTAACAAAAAACTGCTCTGATCCTAAAACCCTGTAAGTTGAAACTAGATACATTTTAAAGAACAAGCCTTATGTCTGATGTATGGTCACCACAAGATCATCAAACTGCATATCATGATTAGAGATACTCAAACTGAAAACCAGGAGAGATTGGTGTTTTCATGCTATAGAAAACTTTTCCCAAGATATTGGAACAAGTCTTCATATCACAATGAGACTATTACCTACCTTAATGCTACTCTAACCCCCGTTTTTCACATGGTAAGATAATAGTGTAAAGTTTAACAAAATTAACAGCTTCTGCTGGTAACTTAACAGAACCTAAACATTCTTTAGTATCCATTGGTTAAATAAGAAAATGTCCTTGCTATTGCTAATACTACATGCTGTCCCTGGTAAAATTCCTCTGGAAAATTGAGAATCATTTGCATAAAATAAGAAAACAGACTATATTCTTACTATAGGTCTTACCTAATTTCCTGTGGTCATTTGATTTATTCAATTGGTTATTTTTAAGTTGAAGTTCATGGCTCAAAATCATTATGAAAACTTGAATTGTCATATTACCATTTATTTTACCTTTCTAAATTTTGTATCTGTTACTTATTAAAGTTCTATGGAAGTACTAACTCCTAGCAAAATAATGTTGGCCCAGCACTTTAAGATAACAAAAGACTACAGAGCAGACAAAATTGAACATAATAATGAACTCCACGTAGACATTAGCTTGAGAGCCACTCCCTGAAGGACTAAAGGGTTGACCCTGGATCCTAGTCTCCAATGAATCCCTTTCAATATGAGATGAGACCAACCCCTTGGACAAGTCTGTCATGGCACCAAGAGACATCAAAAACTAACTATAGGATGATTCATTAGTGATGCTTTTGAAATAAGATCTTGATCAAAAGGGAAACTGAAAATTGTCTGAGTCAAAATGGAGTCACTAATGTTAAACCAAACAAACAAAAAACAACTAACCCTGATAAATAGGGAAATAGAGCTGGGGAAGGCTATGAAGACAGGGCTCTCACACTTATATGCCGGATAACAAAAACTATCACGAAAGACTGCAAAAACTACAGTCTTGCACAAAAATCATTGCAACTTTACACAAAAAGTACTTCTGCAAGGATATCTGCACAGCAACTGCCTATTCACCCTCAGACTGGCATCACGCTAGTTATTGATCTTTGTAGCCAATGATAATAATTTCAAAACAATTATGTAATCTTCCTCATTTTTTCTTTAAAAATATTTGTCTTCCCCTACCTCCCTGAATATGCAGGTAGTTTACTATGGTACACACATGCTAATTGCAATACTTTAGTCCCAAGTAAGCATTATTTTCTTTTAGAGAGTGTCGCTGTTGGCTATTTAGGTTGGCACGTGTGTCACAGTGACCTTCCTAAAAGTTTGTCGGAATCTCTTACTAGATTTTGTGAGATCTTTGAGCACAGAAAATGGGACTTGTTCATTTTTGTATCTCTACCACTGAATACTTAGTAGGTGCTCACAATATGTACATTGAATCAAAAAGTAAATGAATAAATAATAAAGAAAAATAAATGCCAGCATATAAAAATAAAAATAAAATGGTTAAAAATAAGATTATTTAAATCTTTGAGCAGTCAAAGGTACATTAAATCTACTTTTTTTCTAGAAATAGAAAGATGAGCAATTTTTTACCTCTTCCTTTAAAAGCTTATACACTCGAGGGTCACTAGAGTCAAACAATTAATTCATCTTGTAAGGGTGCCTGCAAAGTAATTTTGGTTAAATATAAAAGTAAAGATATATTGTGTGTGTGTGTTTTTTTTTTTTTTTTTTTTTTTTTTGATGGAGTCTAGCTCTGTCACCAAACTGGTAAACTGGAGTGTAATGGCGCTATCTCGACTGACTGCAACCTACACCTTCCAGGTTCAAGTGATTCTCCTGCCTTTGCCTCCCAAGTAGCTGGGACTACAGGCACACACCACCACACCCAGCTAATTTTTAAATATTTTTAGTAGAGATAGGGTTTCACCATTGGCCGGAATGGTCTCGATTTGATCTCCTGATCTGCCCACCTCAGCCTCCCAAAGTGCTGGCATGAGCCACCATGCCCGGCCATCCTTTATTATTCTAAACAACCAGGCAGAATGAACAGAGTCTTGGGGAAAGTGAGTAAATGAGGGATGAGGATATCTGAGCAAATGTTCCAGGCAGATGAACTGCCGGTTTGCAGACCCTGAAGTCTTTTAAGAAACCATGGCTGGCACAGAGTGAGTTGGGGAGAGTACAAGGAGAGTCTCTCAGAAACCAAACTCAGTAACAACTTGGTATTTTACCCTGAGTGAGATAGGAAGACTTTGAGGAAGCTGAGTAGAGGAACATGATAATATGGCTACTTTGAGTGACATCAGGGTATAGACAGAAAAATGGAAGTCAGAAATCTTCCCTTTAGGGTATACAGAGAATTTTCAGTGGGAGGAGATACATAGCAGGTGAAAAGAAGACCATCTCAGGAAATCACAAACATGGGGAACCACAACATTAATGTGACAGAGGCTGGGGACTGAATGGCCCCTTTTTCTGCTCTAGATTAGGCCATTAGAGCCCATCTTTTTTAGGAGGTGACATTTTAGCTTAGATTTGAAGATGAAAAAAAAATTCAGTTATACAAATATGTAGGGTCAGAGAATCTTGGCCGAAGGGATAACAAGGGTGAGAGTGCTTAAACAGCTCCCGCAGTGTTTAATGAATTTCCGTTTAACACTAAATCATCAAGGGCCTTTAATGTGGTTCAAATTTGGGAAGTGTGGGGCATAGTTGAAATGCACACTCTTTTGAGATATGCTAATTTTACTTTAATTCTCAATTTTTCCCTGATCATGGGTATCACTTAGGATCAATTACTAAATCTCTCTGAGTTTCACTTTCTTTATTTGAAAATGGGGATACTAAAACCTACCAGACAGTGCTGTTGTGAGGATTACATGAAATAATGTACATAAAGCAGCTAGCACATTTTCTGATGTATATTTTGTGTTCAATAAATATTAATCCCTTCTTAAAATGAAGAAAAGAGAAAGTATCATCATAGTTGAATTTTTAAAGATTTTTTTTTCTTTGTATTAGGCGATAGTAATCTGGGAAATTGCTTTTCCCTACTTCTCAGTGTCTTGTCTCGCACACAGATGGGATGGTGTCCACTCTGTCAGAGGATGTGAGTTTGCAGTTGAGGATCTTAATTAGAAATGTTGAGTTGGCCATCTTAATTTAACCCAACCCTCTTTGTAATTTTTGTTTTGTTTTGTTTTTTTTTGAGACAGAGTCTCGCTCTGTCGCCCAGGCTGGAGTGCAGTGGCGCAATCCCGGCTCACTGCAAGCTCTGCCTCCTGGGTTCACGCCATTCTCCTGCCTCAGCCTTCCGAGTAGCTGGGACCACAGGTGCATACCACCATGCCTGGCTAATTTTTTTGCCTGGCTAATTTTTTGTATTTTTTAGTAAAGACGGTATTTCACCGTGTTAGCCAGGATGGTCTCGATCTCCTGACCTCGTGATCTACCCGCCTCAGCCTTCCAAAGTGCTGGGATTACAGGTGTGAGCCACCGCACCCAGCCCCTCCTTGTAATTAACAGTTCACTTTTGTATAATGCCTGGCCTATGCTAGATGATTCTTTGTTAAGGTGAAGAGGAAATATCCCTAGGCACAAGCTGATGAAATGCAGGGTGTGTGGAGGCCGTAGCAGATGTGGAGTTAAGTGCTGACTGCCTGCAACAAACTTAATTAACACAAAATCTTAAGCTTAGTGATTCATAAATTTAAATGCAAATGTTGAACAAATGGTTTTGAAAGTTTTTTTGGTTATTTTACCCTAAAACTTATTTTAAATATTTTGATAGTATGACTGTTTGTCTACCCACTCACTCTAGTGCTTAAGAAATGTAACCTTTGCTTTCTATAGTTCAATATAATTTTGTTTCAAGGCCTCATTCTCCTTAAGAAAGTGTCAAAAAATTACAGCAAATTTAGTTTAAAGATTTCATTTGGCTTTATTCGCAATTCTAGAATTGGGCAACACTTCATTCTATAAAATAGAATGCGTGTTCAGAGAAGTTGAGTAAAAGGGGTGACTTTGTAGACAGAGAAGGGCTAAAGAAGGCAGAAGAAGAGAATGAAAAGTTCATTAGTCATTTCAAAGCTATTTTTCTTTAAAATCTGGTCTGTTGGGGCCTAGTGCAAGAGTTTAGTCCAAAACAACAGTCTCCTATAATTTGTACGTAACAACAGGAACAAATATTTCAATCTATTTAAGGTTCTGCCCCTTTTCCCCAGGATGGTGGCTAAATTCCTTAACCCATGTTGCAGGGCACAGTGATGTCTGGTTCCTGACTGTCATCTGACTATGCAGGCATCTTCTGTGACATCAGTTATCTGTGCCAGTCCTGGGTCATCAATCCCCGCAGATTGCTGCTGTGCTATTGTTTGTGCCAGGTCTGGCTCTTTCCACTGCCTCAAAACTTCTCTTGGGAGCATGGAAAACCATTGGCTTCTCTCCCTGCCTACTCTGAAGCTATGAAAAACTGGGTGCTGGGTGGATCAGGAGCTTTATCAAGCACGTATCACTTAGTCACTTGTACTCTGTTTCTGAGGGCCTCTTCTCAGCAATCTCATGCACTTCTCAGCTCTCTTCAGTTCTCTCCGATGTTCTTCTACCTAGTCATTTACAGCTCCGAAGCTAAAAACTGAATTAGGCATTCTACTGGGTCACCCGATCTCTGCAGTAGTAAAGACAAGATGCCCAGTTGCTCTAATTAGGAGAAGTGGTTAGGTAAGGGGAATTATCTTGAAAAAACATTGATTAATAATTCAAAATATTACTCTGTCTCACTTGTACAGCAAAGCAATTTTTG